AACAGAGTAGAGATGACTGCTGAAGAGCTGCATCAGCTCAAGAAACCAATTCATAAGAAATGTCCCATAAAAAACATGTAAGACAGGGATCTTGAAGAGGGGATTAAATAAGATGAAAGTGAGAAAGTAAGGCTACCTGACAAAGTACGTATCAGAAATAAAACAAACCAAGGTAACTGGGACAAAAATGGAAGAAAAATGAGGGCAAAGTGGAAAACAGGTATGTGCATGTTGCTCCAGTAAAACTGATAGGGTCATGTTGTAAAAATTCCAAATGAATGTGAAACACGAGAATGAACAAAGAAGTTGTATAAAAGATGAAGAAAAGAAATGGAAAGAAATAAAATGGAAGGGAAAAAAATTAAGAGCCTCAAACTGAAATAAAGATTTGAGTAAATGAGGCTCATGCAACGAGGAAGCCTAAGATTCAGCAAAAAATTACTGAAAAAAAGAAACCAAGACACACATACCTGTAGAATCCAAGCAGCGAAGGACGAAAGTGGGACTACCTGATCCATATTGAGAAGAGAGAACAAGAAGCAAAAGCAGGCATGGATACAACAGTGATGAAACACAAGATGGGAAAATAAGTCAGGTATGGTGATGATGCATAGATCTAATGACGACCTTGAAGAGTGCTGGGTGATATACATATGTTGGATTAATCAATAGAAACACATGTAGCGAAGGGAATGTTGTTCAAGGTTTGTGGCATGTGCAGGAAACTACATGGCAGTGAAAATCAAGGTAATAGCTCTTGGTGGTGCAAAGATGAGTAGCATTTCTCAAGTATTTATATGTTAAATTACCTCTGTATGAAAGTTACAGAAATTTTCTTCAATGAGAAAAATCGGATAACTTTAGATAAGCTAATACAGATAGGGGTGGGTTGATTGAATAACATAGAGAACTATTATAAGTTTAACACAATAACAAATGTATAAAATTTGGAGAAGATTTTGTTATCAGGTGCAAGTTGTTTACCTAGATATAAATATAAATATATATATATATATATATATTAGGGATACATGGGTAGTAAAATTTGGCCGAATACCAGATCCAAGCAGGTCCCCTTGCTCCCCCAAAAAAACAACATACACAAAAATTAGAAACAAAGACAAAATTGATGTATATTACATTTAACTGAATAATCACCAACAGAACATTCAAGTTTTATTTTCAAGTTTCAATGCCTAGTTCAAACTTCTCAAACTCTAACCCCTATTGTTTTCAAAACCCCCACTTTCCCCAGAAATCTACTTCTCAAGCCATGCCTGTTATTAACCCCTATTGCCTTCTAAATCCCTGACTTTCAGTCAGAGGTCAGTTTTTGTTGCTCGGAACACGTTTTTTTTATAACTAAACCAATTATTGACTGTACCTTTCAGTACTTCATTAGTTGCCACAAATATTAGGGCTAAGATGCCTAACTTCAACACTCAGCCAGAGCCAAGTATCACTGAGTAGCCCAATATTCAGCCGGGTACCCGTGCATCCCTAATATATACACATATATATATATATATATATATATATATATAATAACACACAGTAAGAA